AGCTGTGCCTTTAGCCAGGGGGCTGTCTCAGTCCCCAGGCAGTGAGATGGGATGGGAGGTGTTTCCTCAGTGATATGTTTAGAGTAAAACAAGCAAACCAGGCCCCTTCGGTTCTCAATCTTGCAGCCCTAAATAGAGATGCTGTGGCCAGGACAGGGGGGGGAGGGGGGGGCGCGGGGCAGGAAACGGGAAGAGGTGACGAATATCAGACCTGAGGAGGGGACAGAGCACGTCAGAGAGAGGATGTGGAGTCTCTGCTGCCTGAGCCCTACGGAACCCAGGGAGTCTGGGAGCAAGGAGAGGTGCTTTCTGGAGAATCTAACCCTGGGGAGCAGACGGGGCAGATCGGAGCAGAGAGAGAGACTTCTCCTGAAGTCAGACAGGGCAGTGGGGGCAGATCAGAGCAGGGAGCGACTGTGGATTGTCCCCTCCTGACCCCATTGAGGAGCAGAAGCTGCTGGGCTGTTTCCATCCTGATCTGTTCCCGCCACCACTGTGATGATCCTGTCTCTGTGCCTCTTGCTGCCCGGTGAGTATGCGGGAACCTGTGCTAATTTTATAGCAGGTTGGGAGGAAACAGAACCGAGAGCAGCCCCTGGCTCAGACTGTCAGGAAATCCTCTTCAGTGGGAGAGAAATGGGAACCAGTGTAAACACTGAGTGTGAGAGCTACTGGGCCAGATCCCCAGTTGGTGTAAATCAGTGTAGCTCCATTGAAATTAATGCCAGTTTACACCAGCTGAGGATCTGGCCCTCTAGAGAGCTGAAGGGAAAGTTGGTCCCAGCTCAGCCAAGGTCTGTGTGCACGAGGAATCTGCCATGCCCCAGATCTAATGTCCTACCTGGTTTGCTTCTTCACCAACACAGAAATCAGGAATGCATTTCCATATCTATTAAGGCAGTTTTTGTCCCTGAAGAGGGACCTTTTTATCTCCAGCACTAAACACACGTCACCTTTCTGTTCCCAGCGCTGAGTCCCAGCAGCCAGGAGATCTGCTCAGCTCCCGGTGAGTCCCTCTGTCCGTCTGTCTGTCCCCAACTGCCCATGGCATTTACCCCTCCATCTCCAGTTGTCCAGCCATCACTTCTTGGGACGTTCCCTGCTCAGTGAGGTGCCAGTGGCAATGGCACGGGAAAGTGAACAGGCTGTGTGGGATCTGAGCAGGGATCCAGCCGACCCCTCCCTGTCCTGCTGCCTCTCAGCTCTGCTCTGACCCGAGGCCAGTGTGACATGCAAAGAGCCACGTCCACAACCCATCCCACCCCCGGGGCACTGGCCCTGGGAAGCAGAGAACAGCACAGCTCTGACCACAAGGGATTTACCTTCCCATGGCACCAGCTCCCAGCACCTTGCAGTCATAGGTCTCTCCCCTGGAGCTCACAACCCATATAGACTCAGCCTGCACCTCGTTCTTAAATGTCAGCAGCACATTTAATAGCCAGCCCTGGGCGGGCAGGCAGCAATCGAGAGGGTATGGCCAAAAGGGACCATTATATAATCCAGGCTGAGTTGCCGTATGACCTGGGCCAGGGAGCCGCGTCCAGCAACCCTGTGCCCAGCCCAGCAGGGGCTGGCGGAGCCATTTTCTTTGCTGGCTGCCTGGGCAAGGCAGCAGCAGGGGGCACTGTTGGGGTGGGGAAGGTGTTGGGCAGATATTGACCTACCCTGCGGCAGCAACAATTCCCCTGCGAATTCAGAGTTGGGTCCCATCGCCCTGGAAATTCCCAGGAAAGAGCGATCTGGTCCCTGCTGCTGCTCCAGGACCTTCCCTTAGCCTGGGCCTGGAATTGCCTCTTGTGCCTCCTCTGCCAGATGGGACCTGGGGGATGGGAGGGGATCAAGAACAGGGAGGATGTTAGAGCAGAATCAGAGGGGTTAGGGACTGGACACAGCTCTTTGGCTGTCGGCTGCCAAACTCCTTGGGGCAATGACTGGCCATCACTGCATGGGCTGCAGGGACAGATCAGGGTGTTGGCCAGGCCCTAGATGGCCCTCAATTGCCGGGAGCCTGCCATGCTGAGGGGTCACCTCTCTCCTTCCCGTATTGCCCCAGCTGGGTCAGCGGGTGCCCGCATCAGGACCCCTTGTTCTAGGAGAGTGAGCAGCACCCAACAATGGTAGCCCAGCCCAGCTGAACCTCCAACTCTTCAGCAACCCAAACAATCCCACTTAATAAAGCTTCTGGTCACAAAAGAGAGCTTGTGCCCCCATCTGCACAGCTCGGCTGGAATCAGAGCCTCCATCTGAGACATGGTACAGACCCACCTGCCATTTACCTCCTGCCCCATTGACAGCGCTGAGCACCACCAATGCCCCACTGACAGCTCTGCCCCATTCCCCTTCCTAGGTGATTTCCCTGCCCCTGTCCTCCGCCTGAGCCTGACATCCGCCCGGCCAGGGGAATCCGTGTCGCTCAAGTGCTCCATGCTCTCCCAGCACCTGCCCACCCGCGTCGTCTTCTGCAAGGAGGGAGAGGAGGTTTCATCCCAGCGGGGTTCAAAGGAGAAGGCCACCTACAACTATAACCATGTGGTGTCCGGCGGCAGCTCCAGGAATTACACCTGTGGGTATGAGATCAAGGATAGCGACAACCAGGTGAACAGATCCCAGCTCAGCCCTGCCCAGCACCTCAGCCTCACTGGTAAGGGATGTGTGTCTGTGTGTGTGTGTGTGTGTCCCCCAGCTCAGCCCTGCCCAGCAACTCAGCATCACACAAAGGGGGGGAGGGATGAATTGCAGAGCGAGAACCACAGTTAAATAACAACCCCCTAAAAATCCAAATATTGAAATTCATCAACATCCAAAATGAAAAATTTCTAACAAAACATCTTCATTCAAAATTTGACACAGGGAACCCTCCGGATTTTCACTCAGCTCAGCTCAGATGGCTCAGCCCTGGCAGGTGGGGGACGGGGACATCATAGAAATGTCAGGCTGGAAGGGACCTCAAGATGTCATCAAGTCCAGCCCCCTGCACTGAGGCAGGACCAAGTAAACATGGACCATTCCTGATAGGAGTTAGTCCAATCTGTTTTATAAACCTCCAATGACAGGGATTCCACAATCTTCCTTGGAAGCCTATTCCAGAGCTTCACTAGCCCTATAGTTAGAAAGCTTTTCCTACTGTCTAACCTAATCCTCCCTTCCTGCAGATTAAGCCCATTACTGCTTGTCCTACCTTCAGTGGGACTGAGAACAATTGATCATCGTCCTCTTTATAACATTTGAAGACTGTTTATTTGAAGACTGTTATCAGGTTTCCCCTCAGGCTTCTTTTCTCAAGACAAAACATGCCCAGTGTTTTTAACCTTTCCTGCTAGGTCAGGTTTTCTAAACCTTTGATCACTTTTGTTGTTCTCCTCTGGACTCTCCAATTTGTCCACAACTTTCCTAAAGTGTCACACCCAGAACTGGACCCTGTACTACAGCTGAGGCCTCACCCATGTCAAGCAGAACAGAACATTTTATTTTTTATTTTAACAATGACCTCCCATGTCTTACTTACAACATTAGCCCTTTTGACAACTACCTCACACTGCTGACTCAGATTCAGTTTGAGAGTCACTCTAACACCAGGCCCCTTTCAGCAGCACGGCCACCAGCCAGTTATTGCCCCGGTGTAGTTGTGTTAGGGTAGTGTATGGGCCTGGAGTGGGGCCATGCTCTGCTCTGATCTCTTGTGTATTTATTGCCTAGGTGATCACTCCAGCAGCGGCGGTGTCGGGGGTTCCTCCCCACTTGGTAAATGCTTCTGAAGCGTTTCTTTATTCTGGGAACTGTATTTAGGGAAAAGTGGGTCCTGAGCTGGGCAACCCCCAGTCTGAGTGTGATCGCTGTGATGATGGCTCTTGGGTATTTATTGCCTAGGTGATGACTCCAACAGCCGAGGTGTTGGGGGTTCCTCTCCACAAGGTAAATGCTTCTGAAGCATTTCTTTATTCTGGGGGCTCTATTTAGGGAAAGGTGGGTCCTGGGCTGGGCAACCCCCAGTCTGAGTGTGATCGCCCTGACAGTGGATGTAGAGGAAACACACAATCACAGAACAGGGTGACAGGCTAATTCAATGCAGCGCATTCTCCCTGCAGCTCTCCCAGGCTTTCACCAGCATTGATGAGCCGGGCAACATCTTTGCAGGGCAGGACAATGGCTCTTTCAAAGGGGGAATCCCAAACCCTTCTGATGGGAAAGAGTTTCCTCTGGAGTTCACTGACCCCCACTGTTAAACCGACAGTCAGTGAATTATTTCCTCCCTCTGCAATCACTGTATTTGGTGTTGTTCTGGCAGGAGGCACCAGACACATCATCTGGGCTCACAAGTACTGTAATTCTCTCTGTGTAATTAGTTATTTACGCTCTGTGCTCCAGTCCAACTAAATCATCCCAGCCAGGGCTTTGTCAAGCCAGGCATTAAAAACCTCTAGGGATGGAGATTCTACCACCTCCTAGATAACCCATTCCAGTGCTTCACCACCCTCCTAATGAAAAAGTGTTTCCTAATATCCAACCTAATCTTCCCCCACTGCAATTTGAGATGATTAATCCTTGTTCTATCATCTGCCACTACTGATAACAGTCTAGATCCATCCTCTTTGGAACCCCCTTTCAGGTAGTTGAAAGCAACTAGCAAATCCCCACTCATTCTTCTCTTCTGCGGACTAAATAATCCCAGTTTCCTCAGCCTCTCCTCATAACACATGTGCTCCAGTCCTCTAATCATTTTTGTTGCCCTCTGCTGGACTCTTTCCAAATTTTCCACATCTTTTTTTGTAGTGTGGGGCCCAAAACTGGACACAGTACTCCAGATGAGGCCTCACCAATGCCGAATAGAGGGGAATGATCACGTCCTTCCATCTGCTGACAATGCTCCTACGTATACAGCCCAAAATGTCATTAGCCTTCTTGGCAACAAGGGCACGCTGTTCACTCATATCCAGCTTCTCATCCACCGTAACCCCTAGGTCCTTTTCTGCAGAACTGCCACTTAGCCAGTCGGTCCCCAGCCTGTAACAGTGAATGGGATTCTTCCTTCATAAATCCTCTGTACTTGTCCTTGTTGAATCTCATCAGGTTTCTTTTGGCCCAATCCTCTAATTTGTCTAGGTCCCTCTGTATCCTGTCCCTACCCTCCAGCGTATCTACCACTCCTCCCAGTTTAGTGTCATCTGTAAACTTGATGAGGGTGTAATCCATGCCATCCTCCAGATCATTAATGAAGATATTGAACAAAACCAGCCCCAGGACCGACCCTCGGGGCACTCCGCTTAACACCGACTGCCAACTAGACATGGAGCCGTTGATCACTACCCGTTGAGCCCGACGATCTAGCCAGCTTTCCCATTTGTATCCCGCGATAAATTCTGACCTTTCACATTTTATTTTCATCCTGAATCAGGATGAAAAGTCAAAATTTCAGATATTGCAAGGAACAGAAATGTAGCAACATTTAGATTCCGAAACACCAAAGAGCCGTGTCAAAAGGTTTTGTTTTTAAAGAAACATCATTTTATGATGGAAAACTCTTCCACTGAGTATTTGTGGATCGGCTCTGCACAGATCTCTGCGCATGTCATAGAGCTCTGTGGCCTTGACTCCGGAATGTTCTGAAGCATGTGCTCAAGACCATCCCTATTCAGGACAGCATCTATGTGTAACCCTTCTGCCCATCTAAGTTGGCAGCAACAAGGGCCGGGGTCTGTATCTAGGGGTTCCGTTTCAATAACGCAATGCAAAACCGGCTCAAGCCCCCACCCAGTGACCTGGGACAATTACATACCACCCCCTGGGCGCCTCTAAGAGGCAATACTTCCCCTCTCGCAAGCACAGAGTCTGAGTGTAACAGAACATGTTTAATAACATGAGGTAAACGACATCAGCATTAAATTGGAAAAACACCACAAACAGGATTCATAACACAAACCATGAGCAAAAAACCCACCCCAGCAAATTGGGCTGTGTCCTTTCCCTTGGGTTCTTGAATCCAGCAACCCCAAAATCACCCAGAGTCCCCCAAGTCTCTTGGGTCCAGCAACCACCCAAAGTCCCAAAAGTCCAACAGACCTCAAAGTCTCTGTCCCTGGTCAGTGCAGCCCCAGAGTAAAAGAGGGGGCACGCAGGGTGTTAAGGGGCACCTTACGTGATCCGAGGCCAGCTGGCCATCTCTCCATGGGGTTCCGCCACAGCCTTCACCACGAGCCAGTCCACTTCCTGCCATCCCACAAACTGCTCCGCTCTACAAGCTGTTCCGCTCCACTCACCAACCTGTGAGCCGCCCCAGCCATCCCCTCAAACAGCTCCGCTCACCATTCGTTGGTCCACACCTACCGCACCCGTGCCGCTCCTCCCCCACAACCCCCTCACATTGCTCC